TGTTCTGATTCATACTGCCAGCTAGATTTGCATGATAGCAAGCTCTGTACTCTGATCACCTCTGAATAATTAGGCTAAAGCGAGCTGTTTTTATTCCAGAACTAACACAACACAGCAGCAAAGTGGAACGTTTTTGAGCATTTTATACATACACTCTTAAAAAAGGTGGTTCTTCATGGGTTTTTCAGTAAAGACAGTGGTTCTATATTGAGCCATGAACATGCAAAGAACCATTTAAGCCTGCAAATGGTTCTTTGCATGTTCAAGGCTCTATATAGAACCATGATGAAATTGTTCTTCAGATGGATGGCGAAAGTGAAAAGCGTTCTAAATAGCACCAAAAACAGTTCTTCTACTGTTACAAGCTTGACATCGTCGTAAAAGAAAAGCCCTTTTTGGCGCTAAGTAAAACTCATTCAAAAAATGTTCTGTTTAGAACCATATACAAGACATTCTCCATCAATCTGAAGAACCATTTCACCTTGAAAAGAACACTTTCAAAGTGTTCATGGTTCTGTATAGAACCATTGTCTTTAGTAAAGAACCCTTGAATAACCATCTTTTTTAAGAGTGTACTTATAGAGGTAGCTCATGACAGAAAGCAAGAAATAGACCCAAAGCTTTAAACGCAGTGATTGCGTGCCCCCACAGTCATCATTCGCATAACACTTGATAACCACACCCCGAATGCACATGACCGTGCTTGCTGCCAGGACTGTATGAGAGTCTACACTGTTACAGGAGAGCTTTGCTAGCAGCAGTGCTGAAGAAATGGAGTAGTTCACACTTTTAAGCTAAAATGTGTTTCATTTAGCTCTGAAATCATGGGAAAAAAATATGCACTCATGGATGTAGCTTCTGCACAAGCCTTCAAACCATGTTGTTCAGACTTTCGTGATTACTGGTATTATGGGTACACCAAAAATCTGCAATTAATTTCATCATCTCTTACGTTTTCAATACTTTTACTCACTTTTAAGATACTTTTCTTTTGCTGCACAGCAAAAAAATAATCTAAGTGAAGTTAAATTTAGTCAATATATCTACAATTTCTCATGTTGGGATTGTTGTAAGCATGTTTTAAGTGATTTTACTACTAAAAATCTTACTAAAATGTATGGAAATAAGTTAAACATTCTTATAATAAGTGTACAACAATCTCAACATAAGAAATATTAGGTATATAGAGTAGATTTAAGATAATTTCACTTGCCAAGCTACCAATACGTATATCAATTTCTTTTTTCACTTGTTCATAATGACTCTAAATGAATTTGACTTTAAATATAACTGATAGATAACTATGAATACTGCATTCATAGCTAACTCAGTTACCTAGTCTGATACATGCGTCACCAGTTTAAACAAGCGAGCAGACAAGCAACTAGCTGACTAGCACAGAGTGTGTTTTTTGTCTAGTCCAGCTAGATGTCCAGCTGCAATTACCGTGACTATCTCAGACCAGCAAAGACGTAGCTAATGACCATCAATGCTCATCTTATCTGGATTTTTCAGAAGTTTGCTAGTATTGAAGCTTTATTTATGCATTCATCCATTCATTCATTCATTCATTCATTCATTCATTCATTCTAACAATACTGACCAACTAGGAACACAAACAGGACAAATATTTAGCAGGTAGTAATCACAACTATTGCAATCTGAGGTTTAGGTAGCTAGATGGCAAAATAACAAATTAAGAAGCATGGTAAAATTAATTTTCTTCACTTCGTAAAATTACCCAAGAAAATTCTAGATTAATTCTAGAATTGGTTTTGTAAATTTCAACATGAACCAGCATACCGGCAAAACCAGCATATCACCACTGTCAGAAAAAAACTCATATCTCCAAAAGGGTAATTCTACAGGAGAGGGAAAGTCATAACTTTTAACGTGAGTTAATGGGGAACTTATTTATTTCAAGTAATTTTAAACCATTTCTTTTTGTCCGTTCATCATAAAATTCAGAGACAATGTCAGGGCAGCCAGTGCTTTCAAATTATTTAAAAAATGAAAATGACAAAAATGGAGAGACAAGGTTTATATCATCAGCTGCCCCGATTCACAGCGTCAGTGGAACAAAAAACTTAAGAAAACAGCACAAATACTGGCATATTTGAACCTTGTCAGTGTAAACAAATTGAAAGAACTATAAGTGATGAGTGTTCTATATTATATTACAGCTGGGAAACAAGACCCCCCCCCACCCACCTCAACATCTTGTCTTCACTTCCTTTGGCCAGGTAGTGGGTTCAAATCTTATTTATAGAGGTCAGGCCCCCCCTAATTCACACCTTGCTTCAGATCAGCCTTGTTTGGAAGAGATATCAAGGAGAGAAACTCAGGTGGTGCTGGCTGGACCCCAACTTCCTTAACTCAAGTTTTTAATCACTTACCTCCAACGTCACTTCAGGAGATTGTATGCAGAAGCCTAAAGCAGATAACACCTGCTCTTCAGCTCTAACCTCAAACAAGATTAATACCAGTAACCATCTAAACGCGAACAATGAAAGAATGGAATAAAGTCAAAAGGCACGAGTGCCAGGATGAAGTCGAGACTTGCAAATGAATCTTCTAATGCAGGAAATGTATCTGTGGAGAGATTAAAGGAGGCAGTAGGATGGAGTGATTTATGTGCTCACAGTGTGCTCTGATCTGTTATAACCTATCATTAAACCAGCAAACATGAAACATATGAAAAGAGCTTTAAAATCCTTAGACAGAAATGTGCTGTAAGTGATGATGCAATGAAATATTGGATGTAAACTATCATCTAATCTATGCAAGTAACAATGTAGCGCTTGTTCATTTTTTTAAAAAAAGTAAATAAGTCTTAATATTTTAACTGGTAGTTGAAAGTTAAAAAAAAAATAGTAGTGTATTTGCAGAACATTAACATTTAAGAGCGAGTCAAGGACCAATTAAACAATTAAACATACATTTATGTTCCCATTTCTTTGGAAAATAAACCACAAGTGTACAACACGTGTTTCAAACCAGAAGCTATTAAACACAAGAATGAAAAGTCATGTTTAAAACCTTCCGTTGTAAAAATGTTGCTTTTGTATTTGCATGTTCACGTCAGTCCTTTAATCAAAACAACTGCATTAGTCACTAAACTGGAACAGAAAGCAAATACAGATTTGCTGCTTCCACAGTTTATTGCCAAACTTCTACTTGTTATTATTCTTCATCATAATTCTTCACCACTTAAATGCATGTGAATGTTTTGTGACTGTGTAAGCTTTATTGTAACCATATGATATGATAAGAAGCAATTTGTAGTTAAATCAGAGCTTTCAGAGCTTCAGGGGTAATTAGCAGGGCACGCTGCAGTTGTAACTTTTGGCCGGAGCGTTGGCGGCCTTTGAAAGGAAACTGATAGCAGCTCAAGCGAGCGCATGTAGAATCACATTCGGGACGGATGACTGGTGACCGTCGGCTGTAAACAAAGGGCTTTGTTGAGCAAGAGGGAAGAAAAAGCTGATTCATAACTGCCATGTGTCTGCCCTGCTAACGGGGCAGATGTTGTGAATTAGCCGCCAGTCTGCTGCCTCTGAAATCACAGCTCAGATGAACACTGTAATGAGAAGAGCGGCCTAATCTGGTCAATTGAGCTGTTCAGAGTCAGACAGGATTGAGCAGATGACCAGCGCCTGCTTTGTTCCAGAACTTTCCATCCATTTAGTTTGTTTTCAGGGCCTGTAGAGTATAACCTTTTTAAAAATAAGCAATGTGCTTTTATTAAGATTAATGTTGCAGTTATTATTATATATATATATATATATATATATATATATATATACATATAAATATATACATATATATATATTGCTGGTGGCATGATGATTCTATTGGCTGTATTACTGTAAAAACAGTGCAGCACACTACATCAAAACAACAAAAATTATATATATATATATATATATATATATATATATGTATAAATATATATATATATATATATATACATATATATACATATATATATATATATATATGTATGTGTGTGTATATATATGTATATATATATATATACACATATATGTGTGCGTGTGTGTGTAAATACATTTATTTACAGGTTGTCCCAAAACAATTGACATCATTTCGTAGTCTAATAACAAAGCCAATTCTCCCTTAAATGATCTCAAATTTTCAAAGTTTAATTTTTTATGTTTTTTTTTTCAGGTTGAAGAATGGCGTTCTCTAGAAATGAAAAGGCATTTTGTGTGTTAGAATATGCTCTAACACAGTGAAACGAGAGTGTGCAGCGTGCATTTTCGAGAAAATTCAATAAAAATGCACCAACTGGAGAGCAGATTTGGACATGGCACAAAAAATTCAAAGAGGAAGGCTGTCTGTGCAGGGCAAAGGGATCTGGACGACCACCAGTATCGGAAGATATTACATTTGTGAAGCTTTGTGGAATCGGTTATAAAATCTACATCCCTCTGAATTTCTTGTTCGAATTGTTCAGCATGATGCCTATTTAATTTCATTTGCCTAGGACAGTTACTCAGATATTCACATCTCAAATGATGTCAATTTTTTTGAGACACCCTGTACATTTACACATATATGTACATTATATAACATCTACAATAACATAACATAAAAACCAATAAACATATAAGCAAAAATACAAACAAATTCGAATGACATAAAAATAAAAGAAGCAGAATTACTGTTATAAATGCTGATCTGTGAGTCTGATGTTTTAATTTAATTTGACCCACACTCTCATGAAGGTTGTCAGTTTATATAGTAGTAATATTTCTTTAGACGTCTCGTCAACAAACAATAAATAAATAATGACATGATAACATATACAAATAAATAAACAGAATTTACCTCTAAGATTTTGATTTTAGGAGCAGCAAACGTTCAAATCTTGTAATGTTGCATGGAAACTACATATCCCCTACTCCCCGGAGCGCTCTGCCGTATGTCCGTGAGTCTTGCCGCGAAAGTGTCGCAAACCGATGCTGTAGAGGCGGAAAACGGCGCGTTCGTTTGAAAGAGATACAAACAAACAGAGAAGTGAAACACAGAGAAAGAGATTAATTTATCTCTTAAAGTGGGTTTATAGGATCGAAATATACCGATAAACCTTAAGTAAAGTGCACTACAGTAATGGCAGATACCTCCTTTCAATAAAAGCGGCGGATAATTCTTTTATTTATCAGTTCTTTCTCCGTATCCAGGATATCCCGGTGAGTACAGCAGCTTTAGCCTTAGCCTTAAACTGATGAGCATAAAGTCGTTATTATTAGCTAGATGTTTGTCATAGAACATGACATGTCTGTTATTTATTTGGTTAACTTGGAAACCTTACATGTCAATTTGAAAACTCCGATTCCCCTTGTCTTTTTCATTCTTTCATTATTCTCTTGCTCTTTATCTCTGACGTCTGTTGTCTGTAACTTATTGCATATTGTAGCTATTGTATTGCATTGGTAAAATATAAACAACAGGCTTGAAAAGCTAAAGCCCAACTAGACCTCTGTAGCTGAGTAGTGTCAGTTGTGCAGGCAGAAGGAAGAACAGACCATCTGTTTACCTGTTCTTGTATTACTCTGTCACTGCACTACCTACCTACCACTGAAGTTACTTCGTAACTGATAATAAAGTTATTCTTTTATTTTTAATGTTTTGAATGGTTGGCAGCGCAGTGTCTGACTGACTCTGTTCTAAATCAGACCGTAAGCTCATCAACACTGCATATTTCTGCAGTAAAACCAGTAAAACAAGAAGGTCTGAGCTTTTTTTATGCTTCAGTTATGGGAGTTATGTACCTGCTTTATGTGCTTAGATTCATCAGACTCCATCTGGTGACAGTTTTTAGCTAATTTCTAAAAGTGTCTAAACACCCACTCCATAATGTTTCCTTCGAAAATCAAGGGTATTAATATTTTTTTTTATCCCCACCTTTGCTGCAGCCTCTACTCTTCTGGGAAGGCTTTACCCTATATGTTGAAACATTAGAGCATTAGTGTGGTCAGATGTTGAATCCCAGAGGTACTGGATGGTGCTCCATCACTCCAGACATGGCAGTTCCACTGCTCCACAGCCCGGTGCTGCAGGGATGACACTTGACATTGGGCATGGTGATCTTAGGATCATGTATGGCCTAAAACATCCCATTAACAATGAATTTCTGTGGTGATTGCACAAGCTGTGTGTGCACGGTTGAGTACCTTTGTAAGAAGTGGTTGCATTTCAAAGTAGCTGAATTCAGTCATTATACCAACTTCAGTTTTATTTCAACTATTTTGGTAAACCCGGTTATTAGTTACTGACATTAGTGATAGCAGCAGAAACAGTGCAGTTGTATTATTGTTATTAAGTTGAGTGTTGAAAAGTCCAGTAATAAGCTTGTAGACACTTTGGGCAAATCACTCTTCTCCTCAGATCAGCCATGGACTCCAAAGAGAGGGAACGAGCTTTACTTCTTGAGGAAGAAGTTAAGGGCCTGTCGGAAGAGCTGGTCCAGTGCCAGGTAAAGTAAAACTCCTGACCCTGAAGGTTATTTCTGTGTGCAGTGCACATTTAGAAGCACATGAAAAGTCCTGCGAAATCCATTGCATACAGAAAAGCACTTTCTATTCTGTCTTTCTGTATACTATGAGGTTAATTTACTTTATCAAAGTTGCCAAACTTTTTCATGCCAGGATCCACATGTAGAGATCCTTTCTGTTATTGTGTGATGCTCTGCCTTTGTGGGGAAAAACAAAACAAAAAACATATATAGCTTTCTCATGATAATGAGAAACATTTCACAAATATCGGCATCAGCTCACAGTTCCCATATCTGTGTGTTCTTAGTCATAATTGTTTGTAACTAGACGTTAAAATAAACAAAAGACTGTGCAGAATGATGTGTGGAAAATATTGTTTGGGCAACCAATGCATTCCAGATATTTTCATTTTATTGTATAAGGCAGAGGTTTCTAATCCAGTTGACAGGACCCTTAAATTTAGAGCAATATTTGGTTGATTCTTGCTCTAAACGCTCCTGATGACTGAAGTAAGATGACTGAAGATGCTGTAAGATTCTTATTACTTGACTTAATTGTTTAATGAGCTGGAATACATCACACAATGTACAATAAGATATGAATCATGTTTAACAGTAGTTCTTTTCTTGAAGCTTTCTGAACCTTAATGTACATCAGCAGTCACTCAGTTTACCTTGTTTTAGATAATTTGTACAAAACACACTTTATAATTTCAGTTTTTCGAATCACTTAGCTTTCAAACATGCTGCAGAGCGTGCATGAAATGATGAATGAAATCACGTGAGACGTGATGTTGATCCAAAGATATTAAGGAGTTTCGAGGTAAGACATAAATTCTATGCTACTTCAGATTCTTGTTATGAGTCAACGTGACTGGGAAATCGAAACACAATTTTCTTCCATACTGTGTAGTGTGAGGTCCAAAAGTCTGAGACCACATTAAAATAATGGAATTTTTTTGTTTAAACCTGAAAATAAACAGAATTAAAACAGAATTAAAAAAGGTCAAACAAAGAAAAGATATGACAAGTAAGATTTTCAAGATTCAGCACTATTTCTAGATAACTATTCAAATGTAAGCAAATTTGTGACATTGACCATGTTAAGGCCTTTGTGGGCCTTTGTTAAGAAATTCATAAAATAAGTAAACTGTTCACACCGAACCACTCTGACTTTGTTTATATATTTTAACCATTGCATTTTGAATTGGTGGAATTCTTCTTTTAAGGGCACATTTCTCTCTGCAGCTTTTCCAATGACAAACATTTTTTTTTTCAAAGGCTTACACATGACTATTATTAATGTATAAAGCTTGGTACTCTTGTCCACTTGACTGCCATTAATGGCAAAATGGTTGAAGTGGACCAGTGATTTATCAGAGATTTATGGTATTACGTTATTAATATCTGGCTAAATACCAATATGCAGTGAGTGCACTCATCCAGTTCTCTTTCATGGTCGGCCTTTTAAGATAAATAATTAATCGATAAGACTGACTTTCAACATGTCTTCAGATATCTGGGCTGTAAAACCTCTGCGATGCAGATGAGGCGGCCGTGCAGACCTCATATAATCGCTTTTCTTTTTTACTGAGATTAAATGCCACTGAAGAGACCACCTATTTGAAGTCTGACTGACTTTTTTTTTCTTTAAATTTGGCATTAAACTCATTGAAGGCCTGGGTTAGATCTCTATTTCCACAATATCCGTGCACTCTCTACTTTGTATGTTCAGCTTATGGTCTACCAAGGTCTGCCTGCACCATTTATTAAATAATTGATTAGACAATTTTGAATAAGGTTTAAAATTCATGTACTAATTGGAGACCAGTGGACTCCTGGGGGAATTATGACTTTTATCTTATGATGATGTGGACATAATTTAACAGAAAATTTTATTTTAAGTCGATTTGGTATAATTCTGTCTTTTTAATGTCAGAAAATGTAGTTTTTAGATGTCTCTCATTAAATGTAATGTAGCTTAAAATTATTTGAAAGCCTTTTTTTTTGCTAGACAATTTGAATTGGAAATTTTTCAGGCATGCCTCTCATGACTGTCTCTGTCATCACTTTTCACATTTTCTTCCTTGAAGTAGCCAGCGAGCTGAATTGCGTCTCTCTGTCATTCTCTCTGCTGTTCTGCGTATGTCAGATTGCTGTTTTTTTTCCCTGGTTCATTACAACTCAGTTAAGAAAAACTCCCTTCATCTTCACTGTGTGTTGAAAAGTTTGTAGACACCTGCTCATCTAATGATTTCTTTTGAAATCAAGGTTGTTAATATTGGGTTTGTCCCTCTTTGCTGCAGTAACAGCCTCTACTCTTCTGGGAAGGCTTTACACTGGATATTGGAATGTTGCTGTGAGGATTTGGTTGTATTCAGCCACATTAGAATTATTGTGGTTTGGTACTGATGTTGGATGACTAGTTCTGGATCACAAACGCACTCCAAAGTATTGGATGGAGCTTCGTCACTCCAGAGAATGCAGTTCCACTTTTCCATTGCCTGTGTTGGGGGATTTATACCTCTAACATATATCTAGCTGTTGCTTGGCTTTGGGCATAATGACTGCAGGCTCATGTGCACCTGCTCCAGAGATCCTCACTCTGTTGGTGATGCTTGTCTATGGAGATTATAGAAGCCATGTTTGCACATTTGAATACCTGTGTCAGCAATGGGTGCCCTTTAAAGTAGCTGATTTCACTAATTAGAAGGGCTGTCCAGATACTTTTTGGCATAGAGTGTGTATCATATATACAGTCAATGTTTCCAGCTCCTCTGTAATTGTACCCTCTTACTCTCGTTCAAGCAGCTTATGGATTCTTGTTACAGTGTAAGCTCTTGAGAGGAACTTGAGCTTTACTATTTCCACTTTACTGTTGCTTTTGTTAGTTTGCTGCTTGTTGATTTATTCATAGATCTCCTGCGGGCACAGCATAGTCTGTTGAAAGTGTCACTTTAAAAGTCATTTAAAAACTGTATTTTATTTCTGTATATAGAACAATAACTGACCCAAAGCCATTGGTTACTTTCATCATTCTGGCAGATTCACACCAGGAATACACTGTATGATTTTAGGCCGTTTTAAACACACAATCACAACCACTTCCTCAATACAGGTGGAGACACACAGGCTAACTAAATGGAGGCGGCAAAAAACTTGACATTTCCTACCAAAGTCCGTCTACCGACTTTACTCTGTTTGATTTTTTGAATAGAATAGCAAGGTATAAACATTAATGCTGTCTTGGTAAAACATGCTGTGGAGAGACGGTATTGTTCTACCTTGTAAATCACCGCCTGCTTTTAGCCTCAGTGCTCAGTGTTAGCAGTGCTGCTGTCAGTGTTTCTGCTCAGTACTCAGTGCACAGCGTGATCTTTTGAATGAAACAGCTTTATTTGAAATTGTTCACAGACAAAGCTGTCTGTAGTGGCTGCATTATATGCAGCATGAGCAGCATTTTTGTACAGTGTGAGTATATACATCGTAGGCTTTGTCTGTACATGATGGTCTCTTCAAATGTACAGTGTGAGTCACCAAAGAACAAGTTTTTTAGAGTAGTACAGTGTATGTCTGACATTCAGCTACAGCTCAACCAGCCAAACAAAAGACTCCACACCTGCACTCATCGGATGCTTTAGCCTCTAGTGTGATTCCTGCTCTCAGTGTCCTGCAGAGACTGTTGTTGAAAGACTCAGTTGAGGAGCAAAACTTCAGCTGTACAAAAGTGCTTTTCTGATGTGAAACAAAACTCGCTCTTCTCCACTGCGGCACCATTTAATCCAAGATAGCATTAAATAATACAGCATAGTTAGCTAATGCAGTTCATTTAAAATTAGCCAGAATTAATTGTAGTTATCATCCAACACCTGGTTTGGCTCATCAGTACTTGATTATCTTAAATTATGTGTTCTGCTGATGGGATTTAACAAATCCATGTGATGGCTGGGGGCATCAAGTACAACTCTAGAACCAAACTTTGCTCTTTAAACTAGATCACAAAGTATCAACTACTTTTCTGAAAATAAAAACAATTGTGATACTTTTTTTTTCACTGCATTTCTGTTTATTTCCATTTATTTAAATGAAATATGCAAGCACACTTACTGGCAAGATAAATAAATAGCTTTAAATTATGGGATTAGATGCTTATAAATTTTGCACAGTTCTGTATATAGAAATATACACCACCATTCAAAAGTTTATTTTATACTTTAGGATATGTTTTTACAAAATAAAATATGTTTGTATATTTAACTGTATTTGAAGTATTTTGAGTATAAAGTATTTTAGGACCAACAATTTGTCACTGTTGTAAGTGATAAGTACCATATGTCTCTGTTTGACCCTCAGATTTTAATGCCACTTTTGGAAAATACAAAGAGACCTTCTGGAAGTTAATTTTTATTTGCTCTACATGTTCTACAGCATTCTCAGCCTGAAAGTATATGTTTATATAAAAAATTGCTAATGACACTAGAGGTCTATGAACAGTTAGAGATTATATTGTGAACCCTTTCTTTTTTTGGTTTTAAACAGGCAGATAAGGAGTTTGTGTGGTCGCTATGGAAGCGCCTCCAAGTGGCCAATCCGGACCTAACTCAGGCTGTGAGTTTGGTGGTGGAACGGTAAGTTACCTTGTCCTGTCACTAGCATTGTCGTATCAGGTATTGGTGTTGCACAACAATATTGATTTTTAGTTTTAGTAGTTATGATATGTATAGCATAAATCATAAATCTAACAGCTCTAGGTTATTAGCTGGGTGCTTCAGAGTTCCTTCCAGTACTGCGTAAGGTTGTGACAGAAAACAGAATGAAACAGTCCAATAAAAACAAGCCAAGTCAAGTTTTTTAACTGCAAGCTTAAATATCATCTGATGCTGATATATTGAATTTTATCAGTACCGCCCAACCCTACCTGTCACCCTGTTTTCACCCAGCCAGCATTTTTCACCACAGCAACTGTTTTCCTTCAACAGGCAACAATTGAATCATTATGCTCCGTGTGTTAAGTCTCAGGCTTGAGAGCCGCGCCTCTGAAGAATTCTCAGGCCTACGGGTCTGAGGCCTGAAATCCCCAGCTTGCGCTGTGTGTGCTGTGCTGGTGGGCATGGGGGAGTTCCGCAGGGGTGTGTATGAGGTCCTGTGCCGTTTCGGTGGGGTTATGAGGGAATGGAGAGCAGATGCCGCTCTAAGCCCTCTTATCCTTTGCAGATTTGCCCCAGCCACGGAAGCGCTCTAATGAAAATGCACCCGTTCTCTTCCCATCCTAAACTGTGGAAAAAAAGCTCCGCCAAGCGCCCTTCTTTACGGGATAAACAGTAGATTTAAGATGACTAAGATGACCCACAGAGGGGGTGAGGCGAGCTCCAGCAATGGCATGGGAACTTGTTGGAGAAAAAGAACCAGCAACCGCAGTTTTTTTATGATTGACGTGCATGTAACTCACCCAGTATGTCCTTCAGAAAAGTCTGAAGTTGCATTGAAGAGACTTTTTCTGTTGAAAAGCACATCCAACCTTACTTTAAACATTATAGCTGTGGGTTATAGGAACAAATTAGCACTAAGGTGTTGATAAAGAGAAAAAAGTTCACGTTAGATGACGATGCGTAATTCAAAGGTTTTTGTCTGCTTTTTAAATATTTTAAAGCAAATGCTTGTCAAAAAATATGTTTACATAATTTGACCTTTCCACAAATGTAGCCAGCCATCCAAAAATAGCTTAAGTTTGCTTCTTTAGTTGCTTATGAAGTTAGCAAGTAATGGAAGCAGTGGCATTACTAGGATCTTATGTGCCCCTTTTAAAAAATAGCTAGGGTCTAATGGCCTCATTATACAAAAAGTACAAAAAAAAAAAGTAAAAAAAAAAAAAGGTTATTTACTCACTATTGCTATGTTTTAACCGTCTTGGTGCCTTAATGTTGGTGAATGGTTGAAGTAATTAATAGTTTAGCACTGATACCTTGATATTGGCACTTATATACAGTATTGGTTCTGACGCCTGCATGTGCACCAGTAGATGGAGCTTAACTGGAGCAGGCAACTTGTCGGTGTGGGATTATTTCACGCTTGAGACAAGTAGTCGTAAAAATTCTCATTGCAAAATCTGCAACGTTAGTGTTTCAAGGAGTGCACAACCAGCAAAGATGACAGTACATTAAATTTAATTAAGCATTTAAAGATCATCCATGACAAAAAGCACAGTGACTTTTCATTGCCCTGAAACCATTTAAATGTGGAGTTGTCCAACCAGTAAATGGCGTTCATTCAAGTTGCGTAATTTTTTTAGTTGTGACACAGAGCACTACTTTTACCAAAATAGAATATTTAAAAGTGGAATGGTTTATATATCAGTATTTTTTGACATATATGAAAAATATAGGTTAGGTAGAGTTAGTATTGATACTCAGCATCGGCAGATACTTCAGGGTTAGTTATCAGTATCGTAATGAAAAAACTGGTGCATGCCTAGTAATTACTGTATTGTTTTGAAGTATTATTAAGTCATTGTAGTGACCCATGAGTTATAGATGAAAAATACATGTTAATAAAGACATTAAGAGGGCTGTCCCACACTATGGACAGTGCAGTCGCTCCACCTTCAGTACTGGTATTTATGCCACGGCATGGAAGCTTATGCTGCGTTCATGACAATTGAGACCTTCCTATTTCCCACTTCAAAGCATTCACACAACTAGCTAGCGATTGTTTGTCTGCTGAGTGCATATAAAGGCTCTTTAGAAGCTTTTACACTGAAATTAAAGAGTTGTTTGATTAGTGTGTTGTTTATTCTAAAAATAGATGTACACAGACATTTCACCATTAAAATCATTTGGAAAAAATCAAGATAGTGTGCAGTTTGATCTAAAATCTTGCACCGAACAACTTGACCTTTCAGTTATTCAAATATTCCTTTGTATTTAGTGATGGCTCAGTGTTTCCCCCTGCATAGTCTATACTTGGGTGTCCCCCAAAGTATACTGACAGCCTACCAAGTATGTTTCGTCCCATTTTAACAATTTCCAAATGTTTTTATATTGTTATTATTAACAAGGGAACACTTTGTGTAACATGAGACACAGTAACAGCTGCTTGTGTTCAACATTTCCTTGGTTCAGTGCTGCGCTCAGTAAAAGACTTACATTACAACATTACAACATACTTGCCTTATTTCAATACTCAATGTAGCAAAAAAAAGAAAAAAGATTTCAGTTCTAACTTAAGCTATGTTCACAGTACCAGGCTGAAGTGACACAAATTTGATTTTTTCCCTCAGTGTAAAACAGATCTGTTGTTTTCAGAGCTGTGTGGACACACAAATCTGATCTTTTCAAATCCAGTCTAAACCATTTTAGCTATGTTCACATTACCAAGCTGGTGTGGCTTTCCTGAAGCCTGATTTTTTTTCCCTTAATGTGACACAGATCTTGTGTTTTCAGAGATCTGCAGACAAGCAAATCTGATCTTTTTAAATTAGATCTGAGCCAGTGTGTTCCTAGATTGGATATATATCCGATTCGTGGCCATGTGACCTTAATGAGAATGCTCAGATTGGAATTCATGTAGTTTTTTTTTTTCTCACTGCCTGAGCGGCATCATTTAGCATTAATGTGGCAGCAGTGGCTAACCTGAAGTTAGTGCCAGGGAACGTTGGAAAAGCAATACATCCGACCCTTTTTCACCCTTGTTTTGCTCTAATAATTAGTAGTTGAGAGCTGTTCAGAGCTAACTATCTATGCAGGAAGGCTTGCTTTGCTGGTTAGTTTGTTTGCTATTCATGCAACACGGGGTTCATTTGTGTGACGTTACTGTCTAGGATGTGTGGATGCGGGTCAATTCAGGACCAGGTTAATTCACATTAATGACAGATTTGAGTCAATTAGGCTACGTTCACATTACCAGCCTCATTGCGCAATTCTGATTTTTTGCTCAGATCCGATCTGCATTTTTATTAAGGTTGCATGGCTACGAATTGGATATGTATCTGATGTAGTGGCACATATGAAAATGGCTGTTTGTATTTGAAAAGATCAGATCTGAGTGTCCACACAGCTCTGAAAACATCAGATCTATGTCACATAAAGGTGGAAAAATCATATTTGTGCCAGTTCAGCCTGGTAATGTGAATGTAGCTTACCTACATGAATGTGAACCATTATGTTAGGAAGATCGAGTCTGAGCAAAAAATCTGATTTGAGCAATGAGGCTTGTAATGTGAATGTAGCACATGTGGTCCTAGATGGGATACATATCTGACTTGTTACCACATGAACTTAATGAGAACAGTCAGATAGGGATTTGTTTCTTTTCACTGTGCATGCTCCATTATTCAGTGTTAATGTGGCAGCAGGACTAACCTAAAGTAAGTGCCAGTAAATGGTGCGAAAGGAGTGCATCTGACCCTTTTCTCCTTCGTCTTGCTCTAGTAATGAACTGCTGAGAGCTGTTTAGAGCAAATTATCTTTGCGGCAAAGTTGTGTTTAGTTTGTTTGTTGCTCATGATGCATGTGTTTGCATGTGGGTCGTGCCAGAACACAGGTTTGTTCACAGTAATGACAGATTTGAGTCACGTACCTACACAAAGTGAACCCAGGACTGATTCTGGGCTTGTTTTGGGCAGAGCTCATAATCGCTGGTTTGTTTTCACACATAAGAATTCTATCCAAACTGTGGATCGGTTGCGCAATTCCATACGTCACTTTTCTCTGTGCAGTTTTGCAAAATGGTAGTCACGAGTGCTCTTTCTGTTCCCTGGCGAAGGGGAGCAGCTGCCATGGAGTAATCACTGAAACCTGAAACTTAAGCAATCATGGGAAGGGAAAAGACCCGCATTAACATTGTGGTTATCAGCCATGTTGACTCTGGAAAGTCCACCATCCCCAGCCATCTGATCTACAACTATGGAGGCATCGACAAGAGACCAGCAAGACCAGCAAGTACTACATCAATATCATTTATGCCCCCGGACACAGAGACGTCATCAATAACATGATCACTGGTACCTCACAGGCTGACTGCACTGTGCTGGTTGTTGGTTATGGTGTTCATGAGTTTGTGGCTGGTATCTCCAAGAACAGACCAATGAGCATGCCTTCTTGGCTTTCACCCCGGGAGCGAAGCAGCTTATCGTTGGAGTCAACAAGATGGATTCCACCTAGCCCCCATATGGGCAGCCTTGTTTCGAGGAGATCACCAAGGAAGTCGGTGCTTACTTCAAGAAGATTGGGTACAACCCAGTGTTGCTTTTGGTACAACCCAGTGTTGCTTTTGCTGGAGCCCAGCTCTAACATGGGCTGGTTTAATGGATGGAAAATTGGGCATAAAGAGGGTAATGCTAAGCAGTACTACTCATCTGAAAGCCCTGGATCCATCCTGCCTCCCACTCACCCCACTGACAAGCCCCTCCGTCTGTCCATGTAGGATGTCTACAAAATTGGAGATATTGGAACTGAGGGCCGTGTGAAGACTGTGTCCTCAAGCTTGGCATGGTTGTGACCTGAGGTTAACTCTGTTGAGATGCACCCTCTGTTGAAGCCACCCTCCCTGAGGCTACACCTGGTGATAACGTTGGTTTCAACGTGAAGAATGTGTCTGTTAAGGACATTCATCATGGAAACGCAGGCTGGACACAGCAAGAACGACCCACCTGTGGAGACTGGCAGCTTCACTACTCAGGTCATCATCCTGAACTACCCTGGTCAGATCTCTCGCAGCCCCACATGTGGCACTGGAGGCAGATAGCTTCCACACGTGCAGTGGACTGCCCCAGAGTTAGCTGGAAGCAAACCCCAGACCACCGATCTTGGGAGGACCAGACTTGATAATAGCTTACACACTTGGCCAAAACATACGGAACTCGCATAGCAGTCGGTCCTGGGTCTGGAAAAAGCTTTAGTCTAAAAACGCACTTAGTCACAAATACGCTATCAGTTAGCATCTTGCAAACTTTATGCCATAATCATCCATTACTTGTTAGCTATGTTAACCTCAAAACTCCAGTTATGAAAATGGAAGCAAAAATCACACACGAAATGTCTTGGCTGATTGTCCACATTTGGATTAAGGAGGAGCAGGCGGGGGACTGTGTAAATTAGATTTTTCACCGAACAATTCCTTTTGTAGAATGGACCATCATGTTACTATTGCTTTGTTCTTTGGTAACCAAAAGGCAGAGGCTAGAAAAGCGTCTTTTTCCCTTTCAGAAAGGAAGGGGAAAAAGTCTAAGCGGGCTAAGTGAGTGCAGTGTGAAGACTCCCTCCATTGCCACAGCCAGCAAGGCATGCTGCTCCGCGGGGACCCAGCAGCATTGCACCGGAGAGCGAGACGCGTGCATCAGCATAGCTCCGCGCGGGATATATTGACATGATAATTGCGGCGGCTCCAGTCAAGCGCTTGGCCTCGCGGGAGTTTTCGGCCGCTCTTGTAGCAATTGGATGGTTGGCTTGGGACATGGTTAACATTGCCAAGGCTACAAGGTAAAGTGGTGCACTCTCGTGTCTTTGGGCCTGAGGGAGAGCGAGGGAAGCGAAGAGGGAGGAGGAATGAAAGCCTGAGCCGCGGGGAAGGCCGCTCCCAGCTGACTGGCGGCTGCTGAAACAAACCTACTCTGCTTCTGCTTCTTTTGTCTTCTCTCTCTTCCCGAGTGTGCAGGGAAGAGGGCCCAAGTTCTCATTGTTCGGATCCCGCGTGAGATCCGCTGCTTTTTTTGATGTCCGGGTAATTACTAATACCTGGAGAGGAGTTTTTTACCTGCGTTTTCCCGCTGATACACCTCAGCAAGTGCTCAAGGGACACGCAGCATGTTTAAAAGACAACTTTGTATGTTTCTTTTCCCCAATAGTGCTGTATTCCCACTGTAGTGGGCAGTGTTTCATCTCTAAGCGCAGTAATCGCGTTGCATCATGCAACACCAAGCACCTGAATGGCCATAGACCAGGCAGAAACTGCCAACTGGCCTAATTGTTCGAATTTGCTTTTAAGTGGATCTTTTTCAAAGTTACATTAACTGGTACTGCTTGAGTGAATGGTGTCACTGAAGTCGCAAAGCTTTTTTTGTTTTTGTCTTTTAAGGCCTTTTCTGAGAGATTATGTACAGTGTATGCTACAGTGTGTTCATTTAAGTTTCTTACATTGGGCCTTTAAAATGCGAATACCCTATATTGTCTTGTGTTTCCTTTCCTTGGGCTCCACTTATGAAGTTTGTGTGGCTTTATGTACAAAACAAGTCTTAATTCATTTTTAATATTATTTTCCAACCTCTCTTTATCCCTTAGAATGAAACTCCATTTTTTGTAATAACATCAGTGTGAATGGGTGGGGCTAAACTGCCGTGGGCTGAGGGATGGATATATGTAAATACAAGTTTTCGTTACATAAAAACTCAGTTAATTTAAAACATACCGTTTTTGCATTTTTGTTTTGTTTTCATATCTGGACTGGAGAAAAGCAGTGAATGGGATGTTTTGATACTGTAGCAATGTTTACATACTACATCAAACTTTTATTTAAAAAAATGTGAGAGATTTGTCTTTCCATGACATGTGCTCCTTAAAAGTTTGGCAGAACTAGCCATGTTACTGTCAGTTTTTAAATTGGAGCACTGCTTAGATGTGTTCATATAAGTTCACGTATTAAAAGCATATGCATTCTTCTTAGTCCTGTAACACTCAATGTGTATTATCTCCTGCAGTTAGGCATTCTCCTGCCAATTCCTAATTCCAAAGTTTTGTTTTCCAGAAAGTGTTTCAGTAAGTTTAGTGGCTTTCTCCAGTTCCATGTTATTCACAAATTTGTTTTAATTGATCTTTCCATTTCTCCTTGTCCTTGTTTCCATCTCGCTCCACTTTTTTCTTTTTTAGTGAGAAGCAGAAAGCTGAGGCTAAGGACAGGAAAGTTCTAGAAATTCTTCAAGCGAAAGACTACAAGATTCAGGAGCTGGAGAAGGTATGGTAGAATATATGTAAATTTGTGTAAGTGTTTTGTAAAATGTAATATCAGATTATTAGAAGCACTTAATTTGAAGGCTACCTGCATATCTTCGCTGTTAAATGAAAAACAGTGTTCTCTATTTTTTCCGATTTTTACTTTTGTACGCCATTTGAGCATGGCAGCTGTCCTTTACATTGTGTGAAATTTCATGTTGATTGGACCAATAGAAATGCTCCAAAATTGCTCCAAAATGAAACCTCTTTAAAATAACTTACATTGATGGTAAAGAATGTTTTTGCCCTCTCCTGTAAAGTTACTACTTTGGAGAAACTTTTTGGACGGTGCCAACATGAGCTTCATAACACATTTGTAACACAATGCATTTATAAAGCAGTACATAAATATTGATGAACAGTTCATGCCTGTAATCAGAAGATAATACAAAATGTTTTATGATTTAACATTGCATAGACATAAGGGGACACTACAGTTATTTTTTCATTTTTCATTTTCATTTATAACACTGTTATGAAGGCTTATTCCCAATTAATATACCTTATAAGACAGAGCCCTAATTAAGAGAACCTTATAGCTTATAGCTTATACCTTCTATGGAAGATTTTGATGGCCACAAACTAAATTGATAATTTTCATGCATGTTTATGAATATACATATTTCTTTACAAAATCATATACTTGAGTAAAATTAGAGGTTTCCTGTCTGTATAGCTATTCAAATACAAAAAACTACTGTAAATGTACTTTTAGGTATCAAACCTGAAAGTGTTTTGAGTTGAATTCTATAATGCTATTTTAGGGCTCACCCAAGCATTTAAGCGGCTTCCAATATTTGTTGCTATGTCAGAACGAGTAAATAATAATACTTACATTTCATAATGAACCAAAATTATATGTATGTTTGTTACTTTAGATCAAAATGTATCCAGTAGGCGGCAACAATGTATTAATAATCATAATTTATTTTTAATATTTCTATATATTAACTGTTAACTGTTAAACATGTTATAAATTTAGGCCACAATTTTTCGTAGCTCAAAGAAAGACAAAGCTTTCATATACTAAATAAACAGAATCCCAATGTAACAAACATCTTGTTTTTTCGTGATTAATGGCATTAACGGTTCATTATAGGCATGTGAAAGAGCACTCAATGACATACTTCATGTGAAACGAAATTCTTGAGGGGTGCGCAAAGCTGAAAGCGCATTCGCAAGCTTACAAGCTCACATATGTTTTGCAGTTTCATTTTGCCTGTCGTGGATACTTAGGCCTTAAGCCTCCAGCTCCAGCCTTATTTTATTTTCAGATGAACTACTATTTTTGGTTGTTTTTGTTTTTTTTCTTCCCCGCAGTTAACCTGTTAACAGTTAACACAGTTAACTGTTCATTAACTTGTGTAGGTGCTCAATTATCAAAATTAGTCTAAATGCATATCCTTAGTTTGTAAATGCTCAAGTATCACTTGACAAATACATTGTTCAATGCTTATGCATGTGTTATGAATTCCTTATGTAGGTAGTAGTTGAGGATAGTATTCCAGTTTAAATTCTTTCTCAGGTATTAATTTTGTTACAACCGTTATACTGTTTTAGTCATGTTTCAGATGAAAGTGAAAGCGCACAGACCCTTAATCATCACCTGCTGTCTAGTCCATTGCATGTGAAGTTGTCCACTTTCAAGGCAGAAGACATAAAAGAATGGCCAGTCTTTTGGGGTTTAGCCTTAGCATAACATGGACACCAGACAAATTGCCGGGATTCTGTTTCATCTCGTACCACCTGAGAAGCTGCCTTACTTGATCAGCTGCATCAGACAAGGCTGCAGTTGGGGCCTTGTGTGCAAAACTGTAACGACTGTAATGACCGTCGATGACTAATATTTTCCAAATGCCAGCAGTGTCTGACGGTCGGGGGGAGGGCGGTGGGGGCTGAGTGTACGCACATATGAGACAAATAACTTGAAAAAATCATCAAAGCTAAAGTAGACTTCTTATTTGAATTTCCTTACTGCTTCAAAATGTTTCTTATTCACAAGTGACATTCCAGAATAATAAGCCACTATTAACCTGTAAAAATAGGTTTAATTAAGCATCTGAAATAGTTTCATTTGAGAATATGTTTATACTGTGGTATATGTAAACCATCAGAAATTTAATTATACTGTGTGGACACGTGCTGGTATTCAGTAATTCGGTGTACTGCAATATTAAATGGCACAGTTACGTTATTGTGGACTCAATTTAGTCAAACAAGGTTTCACCAGAGTTTTTTCTCAGATCAGCCCAGTCTCAATCACAACATTATCAGCACAGCAGAAGGACCAGCGGACAGACATTTTTTCTCTCAAAAGGGTGAAAACCCACGTCCCACTCAGCATGGAGAAGGAAAAAAATGCTCGTTCTCAAAATGCAGTCACAGAAGGCATGTGTATGAAGTAAAAAGCATATCAGACATAAATGTATTTAAGAGCTCTCTTTACTTCTAATGGGCTGACATGTAAATCCATTAAAATTCAGAGTTAGGTTTGAAGTATTTACTAAATTATGTGCTATAAACACACTGGAATTTACAGAGTAAAAAATGTAACCTGAATGTCTGTTACAAGCTTTGTTCATTCAAAGTCATTGTGTAGACTCGTGTAGACTGACATGGCCTGTACATGATGATTATATGAGAGTGTGCCATTTATGCCATTTTATGTTGGTGCAGTATAGCCTAAGTACTAGTAGAATGTTCCATGCTTAACAGCTCTTGGTACAGTTTTTTTATTCACATTTTTCACGATTATTTTATTGTAATAAGTGCACACATATACAACTATTAAAAATTACATTCATGATGTATCTGTGACATTAAAAGCTTTTTTTTTTAAAGGTAATATTGTGATAATGTCATAAACTGTGATAGAACATTAGGTAAGTATACACTTTTTTATACCAGTGCATGCCTAATACCGTGGCATGGATCATTCTACTGAATTGGTTCAAAGTCAGAGTTTAAAACACATTTTGGACTTTTAACTGACTTGATGTTTAGACTAAAATCATTTTGCTTTGAGTGGCCCTATACCTTAATTTGGATTTGTTAAGACAAATAATTGAACACTCCATTTTGTCATTACCATAGTAAACCTATCACTACCAAAACTTTACCAAATGTTTCAGTTGTGACCTTTTTTATAGTGACAAGTTTAGCTAATTTTGAGTAGCACTCAAAAAGCAACTCAAACACAGCTTTGAACAGTGGTACACACATAAAATCATAATAATTTTCATTAAAACACAAAAACGTTACGTAATAGCAGAAAGTATGTTTCAGTATTGACAGTTCTTAATGTTACACACCACTTTTCAGACACATTTACTTAAAAGCAATGGGATCTTACTGCTTCCCATGTGGCCATGAGGGACAGGGAGGCAGTTTCAGTTTGTGCTCTGAAATGCAGGTGTGTGGCTAAAATAAGGCTCTGCCTTTGTGTTTCAGTACTGACATGAAAAAGTGGGACTGTGTTTTTTGAAGATTTCAAGATGAAACTCGTGACAAATGTCAGTCTTTCAACCTCACATTAAAAGAAGTCAAAATAAAAAAAGGAAAAGCAAAGAATTGCATATATGGTCGTACAGCCCATTACTAGTGGATAGCCTTCAAACAAAACAGTGTTACCATAAGTTTCTGATCCATATTTAACATTAAAGTGTGTAAGTGAGATTAGACATAGCTGGAAGTAGAGCCACACACACACACACTGAGTCAAGTCAGTGGATGCCAGACCATAATTTCTGTCTTTTTAATAAGCATCTCTGACTGTTTGATAGATGAGCTGGTATGGCAGCTAATGATGAAACCGTGTTGTTAATTCACCTTTAATCATGGCCCTTGAATGAAGCATCTGTCAGCCTGCTTCATTATACACACAGACTCTCTCCCACACACACACACACACTCTCCCTCTCTCCCTCACTCTCTCCCATGAGACTGGCTCTGATGCCATCAGGCTGTGTAATGCATTTTGTCCAGCTGTACTCATCTCTCATCTAAACACACGTTTAGCAGATCAGATTAGCCCAGGAACGACACACTCAGTTTTTTTATTAACGACCCGCTGCCTTGCTGTCATAACTGTCGGTTTATACACAGCCAGGCCGAGGTTTAAACAAGCTTGCGGTGTTGTCGTTTATCTGCCTGTTTCAGCCTGTCTGTGTATGGGTCATTTACTGCGCTCTCTGAGGCCTGGCACCATCCGCTCACATCCATTCAGTGTCTGCCTCTCCATTAGACCTGCAGCTAATGATTATTCCTAGTCAAGTAATCTATTGACTGTCATTCGATCAATCGATCAATCTGACTGTTATGCCTTTTTCAGTTCCTCTCCTTTTGCCATCCAAGCCAAAAGCGATTTATTCTTTTTCTGATGTAGTGAAACGATAGAAGCCATATTGCTCCCTTTTTTTTATGTAGTGTATTACAATCTTTTACAATGACTGGGTGCATCATATAAGCATTATAGAGCATTATAGAGGTTTTGTTTTAGTTGGATAATGGAAGACATATCATCCCCAAAACGTCCTGCATTATATTCTGTCAGAATGACATCATCAGACGATCATTATAGAGCAATATATGTTGCTTTCAAATGAAACAGTAAAAGCCAAATCTCCCCACAGATTCCTATAGTGTATTACAATCTGTCTCCTCAAGGGTACATCTCAGTACTTTTAGTCAGGGAACATAGTTGTACCATAATCCATTAAATTGACTCCACACACTCTGTCTCATCTCTAGACTTTTTATGTCATTGTTCTGTTTTAAAATATTAGCTTATGAAAAGATTAAAAAATACATACTTTTCACCCGGGAAATAATTTTTTTAAGGTACACAACAGGACCTTCAAAATCACTATTGTACCTTTGAGGGTACATTTATATTGTTTGTACCCTGATGAATGAAAAATGTACCTGCACAGTACCTTTTATTTTTAACAGTATAGAGCATTAGTGTTTAAATTTTTTTACAAAACGGTCATGTGGATCCTTTGAGCAATATAGAGCATTATAGAGCACTTTTTAAATGAAACGATAGAAGCGAAATCACCCCCTGTTCTTCCTGTAGTATATTACAATCTGTTGGAATGATTGTGTGGATCATTTGAACATTATATAGTGTTAGTGTGGACTTTTTAAAATGAAACAGTAGAACAATGTTTCTGAAGGTTTCTGAATTTAACCTGCACACCAACTGTGATTTTTCAGATGCTAAAACTTTTACAGATGTCATGCCCTCATTTTTTTCAACTTTTTTGACAAATATAAAAACTGTTAAAAAAAACTGTTGGGTGAAAGTGCTCAGAGAGTTTCAGCTCCTGAATGAGGCTGTGAAACTCTTTGATTCTTGTCAAAATAGCCTACGTAGTGTCACCATTAGCCTGTTTTGTAAATTACATCTTTATGTCTACACAATCTACATTGTGCTTGTTCATTCTTATTTTGTCTGGCGCAAACAACACAGCAGTGTTCCAAAAAAGCTTTGATATGAAAAATCAATTGTGTCCAAAAATGTTATATTTTCTTGGAATTTTACTTGAACCATTTATCACTTGTCGCTTACTGAAACATGCACAGAAATTCTTTGGTAAGTGCAGATTCTGTACATTCAGTCCATCCCATATTTGTGTTTTTAAGTAGAAGAGATGATTGTTACAGTGAGACTTGAACCTCACAGAATGTCACCAGATGTGAATATACAGTACAGTGCAAATGTTATGTCTATGTAATGACTGGGGGCTTCCAGGAGAGCTCTGGAAACTTTGTTCTTCAAGATTATAAGACATCAACTACATTTTTGAAAAAATAAATTCTTGTTCCTTTACTGTATTTATGTTTATTTGCATCTGTCCTAATGTTGTGTGTTTTTTTTAATGCACTTATTGTCAAACTAAATGGTTTTAAACAATATGCTTAGGTGCCTTTCGTACAGTACTATGCGTTTTTCTGTAGCTCACTATGTGACTAATTATGTAATTACTTTATATAGTATTGCAAAACCACAATAATGACTCTTGACTTTTTACAGAAATGAAAAAGAAAAAAAACTTTTTCAGCACTTTGGTGGTCAGTCTGGTAATGCACACATTAGAGCTTTTAGTTGTTTTTACTTTTTTTTCCCCCCTTCTTTGGAGTAAGCATTGTGGCGTGTCTTTTCGGTATCGGCCTGTTCACTGTACATTTATATCAGATACTCCAAAGCTGATTTAGTTGTTACAGTACGTAGTGAATGGAATACGGCCATTAAAAGTTGAGTGAGACTCATTAGCACTAAGGATTGTGGGTACTGTCCTCCAGACCACTGGCATCTATCATCTCATCCAAAATTGCCGCCAAACGAACCCAAATGGTGATTAATTGCTTTTTACTTCCTTGGCTGTGTGATGGTCCGCTGAATCCTGCCTCTCCTCCTGCGTTGCCACAGTAACTTTGACAATCTCTCCTCCCTTACCCTCTTCTTACATTTTTGTAACATAATTAGCTTTCATTTTTGAACTGCACTGGGAATTTCTAATGCTAATCTTTCTGTCCTAGACCTCTTAACTTCTTTAAACCTTTTTTCCTACCAATTGAGCACTACTGGGGTTAAGGCAGTGCTTGCCTACCTCATTATCAACGTTTTGAATTGAGTTCCACTTGTGGTATAAATCTCTATTAAAGCCGTTTTTGCATGGTGCGCAGACCAAGGCGTAAATCCGCTATCTGGAAAGATTCAAGTGATTTCCCTCAACATGGCAATTAATTGCGTCCCAGAGCTCGGTGTTATTTTTGAAATATCCGCGGCCAGCGCAGGATTAGCCTGACGCCGGAGCCAACCCAGGCAGAGTGTGTTAAAAGGGCAACAGTGTTTCAGCAGCTGTGTGTGTGTGTGTGTGTGTGTGTGTGTGTGTGGTAATAAGAACCCTTGCCAAGGCTGAATGATTGGCTGTGTGTGATTTTTCTGCTAATATCAGAAGCTAATTTGCTAATGGGCTGATTCTTATGCTCGTATTACCTAAGAAAGCTGAGTCGTCTTCTCACTGTGAATGAATGTGTGGTGTTAAAGCTTATTCACAGCGTGATGTCTCAGTGTTGCTGGCTTTCAGCTGGCACAATACCACCCACTGAAGTTTAGGGTGAATCTATTGCTATGACTATAGTGCTTTGAGCTCTTATATAAATGAGCTATTACTCACAGAAATCGTTGTTCAAGAATTTTTCTAATAACACTGCAGTAAACATTTTTACTCCTTAAAACTTTAGAAAATGTTCTACAAAATATGTATTAATTGGCATGATGTGACTCCAGCATGCCAGATTAAAAAAAAAAACAAAAACAAATATAAGCCTTAAACTGCATTTTTCAGTTTATAATAATGAAGGTTTATTGTACAGTAACTGCTATGAATTATTAAGTACTTACTATAAATGATTCACTGTCTACTATGAATTATTCAGTAACTGCTATGAATTATTCAGTATCTGCTATTAAATAATCAGTATCTACTATTAATTATTCAGTAACTGCTATTAAATGTTCAGTGTCTGCTATGAGTTGTTCAATTTGTATAGTACATTATGTAATACCAATATTTATTCAGTAACTACTATGAATTATACAGTAAAAACAGTGAAACTAAATTCTGATCAATGTTTAAATTTGTTAGATGATACTCAGTATACACACACAACCACTCCTATCAACTGGATTACTTAAGGATTTACTGTAAAGTGTTTGTTCTATATACAAAGTGAAAATGTGTTGCTTTAATGTTTTAAGTTTAAGCTGTCTGTGTTTAAGGTAAATCTGAAATAAGCAGTATTAAACTTAGCGTGTTAGCTTGGTGTTTACATATCATTGCAAATCTATTTTCAAATTACTGTAATCATATTAAGGATGAAGTAGAATGAAATGAAATAAATAAAATGAAATAACAAAATGCATATTAAGTGAAGGTTTCCACATTAGACATTGCTATTGTGTTATGACATATATTCATGATTTGTGATTTTATAACTTGTATAGGTCATCATTCAGTGGTGTATAGGTCACCATTCAATGGTCCATATGTTGTCCAACTGTTACCTTCTGTTGAAAAAAAAAAACTATTTCTTGGTGGAAGACTTGTTTATCATAATTACTATTGATAGGTAATTATTTATTGGCCATTACTATATTGTATTTTATTATATTGTGTTTTTTCTCTGCATCATGCCAAAAACACCCTTTACCTGTGGTAAAAATCACTGTAACTCATGGCCACAGGTGTCTTATTGCTTTAATTAGTGGGGAATTGAAGTGTGGACCCACATACATACCCTTACAATTTTTATTAGGGTAATAAAAGTTGGCAGGAAGAATTAGATTAGGGAGAAGAACTAAAGCAGGGGTAAATGTAGGACAAAACATGACAAATAATCAAGAAATAATGTCCAGACCTCATGTGAACAGTCAGCTCTTGTCAGCTCCAGACGAATGATTCAAGGTCTGTCCACATGTGGACGTTACTCTTTGCTAACAGCTGTCTCCACTTCTACTGTGTGTGGCTTTTCAAACAGGAAGTGACAGCGCAGCGGCAGGAGCTGAGCAGCCTGGGCCAGAGGCAGCACGATAGAGAGGAAGAGCGAGAACTGATGAAGAAGGAGCTGGCAGGCCTGCGCCACAAACTGGCCAATAAAACTCGACAGCTTCAGGTTCGGACAGATTTTCACCCGCCACGTCTTTTTGAAGTGACACCAGCTATAGAGCCCCCCGAGGCCATAGCCTGAGGCCTAAAATCACTTAGGGAGGGGAAGGGGGGGAGAAAAACATGCTTTTCCTGAGCTCAGGGCAAAGGCTGCTCAGAAAGAAACAAACTTTTGAGGATAAATACTTAATGATAGGCATGGGATGAAGGATATGGGTGCATGTGGCTTTTCCCTAATTGTGATGTGATGGGACTGGGATGATTAATTCATAAAGTGCATGTCTGGGAGTGTGTGTGTGTGTGTGTGTGTGTGTGTGTTTGTGTGTGCGTGTGTGTGTGTTGAAGGGAGGGATGGAGAAGGCAGCAGCTGAACAGTGGTGCCGGCATCAAAGGCAGTGTGGCTGGACTAATGGCCTTACAGTGCAGTGTCCTCATTAAAGCTAAAGTTAATGTCATTAAAGCTTAAACATTCCTGCACCTCCACCTGTCCTAGACAAAGAAGCCACACTCACTACTACAGGTGATCTTCACCATGAGTAGTGACCATCACCTGTCACTTTCACCCTCCCCGGTGACCTTCACTGTTACGTGTGAGCTTCCCTGTCATCACAATCCTTATATTACTCAGATACCTTCATATTTCATCCCTCCATCAGTTCAACACTAAATCTCTTCTACACTCCAAGTCATCATTCCATCTCTCCATCTCAATACACCTCTATCTCTCCAACACTTAATTCCTCCATCCATTCATCTCTGCAGCACTCAATGCTTTATCTGTACAACACATCTAACATTTCATCTCTCTGTCACTCCATCGCTTCAGCATCTCCATCTCCAACATGTCATCCCACCCTCACTTCATCATTCCAACACTTCATCCTAGCATCATCTTTTGCATTTGCTTTTGCAATCCTCTTTGTTCCTTGATCTCACCAAAACTTTGTCACTCCATCCCCACCACTGTCCCTCCATCCAACACCTCCTCCTTCCATCTCTTCAGCACGCCATTGCTTCATCCCTCAATCTCTGCACAACTTCATACCTTCATGCCTTTAACTCTTCAACATCCTAACGCTGTATCCCTACATTTCTTCTATTGTTTATCCCTCCATCCATCTCTTCAGCACTTGTAGTAACAGTGTAGTAACACTTCACCGTCGTTGTTCATCCATCAGTCCTGCTTTTTATCCAGCACACAGTACATACTCTATCTCTCTCTCTCTCTCTTGCATTCTCTCTCTCTCTTTCTTAGGAGCTGCAGGAATATGATAAGGAGCGCGAGGAGAAGGAGAAGCGTGTGCAGAGTGAAGCTGAGGAGGCCAGGCGTGGTCTGCAGGAGCGCTGCAGTGTTCTACAGCAGGAGCTCAACACAGTGCAGGAGAACAGCAGGAGGCAGGAGGAGCTACACACAGCCAGAGTAAAGGTGGAGTTACACTCACACACACACACACACACACACACACACACACACACCTTATAACACTCATCCTCATTCATCCACTCAGTGTTTTTTTCACTATCGTCTCAGTCTCTTTGTAGTATTTTTGTATCTCTCATGCTCTTTATTTCTCTGTCCCTCTCTTATGTTCCCTCTGTCTTTTTTCTCTCTCTCTCTCTCTCTCTCTCTAGTCTGCTTTTGACACCTTCACTGATCTTACCCCTCTCTCTGCTGAGAATGCAAACGAACTTCTCTTGGTTTTCCACACATTTTAAATATTGATAACCCTGTTCAGAGGGGGGGCGAAATAATGACTTTGTTACATGGTGGGGGCCAAACTCAATATCACCCCACTCAGCTGGGACTGTGTGTGACCCCCCTGCCACTCTGCTAGGAGTGTGTATAGCCCCCCGCCTTTCATTTTGCATGTGGCTAATTAGCTGAATCAGTGCAGTTTCCGCAGAGTATCACTACTGAGCTGTACTTTAACACACAGATGCAGAAAATGTTGCATACACCTGGGCTTTAATCTGTTTGTGTGTGTTTATTTGTTGCAGGTTAGAAGCAGGTTGAGTGTCACTGCGGTGTTTTGTTTTTTGTTTGTTTTAGGGGGTGGGGTGGGGTGGTAAAGGCTTTATCTGTTTTTCCGTTTGTCTCTAAACCTGTCCGCCGGTGGGTGTGTGTTTAGGAGAAGGTTGAAATCATACTCAATCTACTCTAAATTTCTAACATTTCTTATTATGTGATTGTTGTAAGAACATTATTTGATTATGCAGTGTATTTCTATTTTTTATTTATATTAAGAGATTTTATCTAGAGATTCTATTAGTAGATAATTTTGCATCTATCAAGCATTATTTCTTTAAATAAGAATAAGCATAAGACTCTCTCACTAGATGAAGTGACTTAAAACAGGTAAACAAATGAAGAAACATCTAGAAAGAAGTTGAATGATCTTATATTCTTAAGGCAATCTTAATAAAAAATAATAAAAAATATTAGTAATTTAGACTAGATTTAAAAGTATTTCACTTACCAAAATATCACAGACTAGCTCCTGTTCAAAGTGTAGACATAGTGGTTTTGAGGAGCTTATACATATAGGTGAAATGAGGTGTGTGGTGACTGTGTTTTATTAAGAATTATACTGTGTGTGTGTGTATATGTGTTCTTTGTGGCCTGAGCGTTTGATGCCAGGCAGAAGGGTCTGTGTGAAGCTCATTAGCACACCGCAGTCCTGTGATGTACTACTTACTGACCCACCACACACACACACACACACACACACACTTGCACTCAGGCACGTCTCTTTCTGCCTCTCACTCACACTTTCGTTCACTTTTCCTTGTTGTCTTCAATCTGTCACTGCTTTATTGGTGTGACAAATGAAGGTACATTTATAATAACTTGTATACAAAGTTTAGGGATATTAAGGAGTAATAAGACAAGAAATGAACAATAAAATATAAAACTCTGTTGTGTGTCATGTACATTTTGGGTTGCTTTTAGTCTCTCATGTAGTCACACACAGCACAGGCCAGGCCAACCTAAGGACTAACATCACAATCTGCAGCTATGATATTATGTCATTAACCTTAAAGGGCCCATATCCTCTGTTTTCTTTTTTCTCCCTGAGGTCAAGTATTTTCTGATGTCTATTTGTTCCTCACATTTAAATGGACTGTTTGTGTTACTGTACCTTTAAGACTGATATGTTGAAAAGACAGGGTTGGTAATAAAAAAAGTAACTATATTCCGTTACAGTCACAGGAAAAAAAAAATACAGTAATCAGATTACGGGTACATTATAGAAACAGGGTGATTACCAACAGGATTACACTCAAAAGCAAGCTTGTCATCTTTTGTTGAAATTCGCCGTTGACTGATTGGGGGAAGGGGGAAGGTGGTGTTGCTGCCAGAAGAGGTATTCTAAAGAACTCCCCTCTCAGCAGAAGCTCAGTTTTTTTTATTCAGCTGATCTATAGAATTTCTCATTTGTTGCTCCATAAAATTCTACAGCTGGGCAAGACGTTAAGCTGACAGGTTTAAACTAACAGTCTGAAATGTGAACAGAGCGAAGTCTCATGCGAAAATGAAAGTTTACCACTCATGTATTGTTGCTTTATTTCTTCGGTAGTTTTCAGTTGATGGGTACAAAACATTAATGTGTCTAAGTGATCATTATTTGTAGAGCTGATTAGGGAGAATCTACAAACCAAGATCATCAAAGTCTAAGCATGACGCACCAACATGAAACTTATGAACCAGTACAGCCTTTTAGCAGATAGAACACAAAGGATGGGCAGTTAGAGTTTCTAGAATTACTTCTGTTTATGATTATTGTTGATGAGGGGTCTCATGATTTCTACCAGATCCAGGTGTTTTGACTTTGGCATGATAACAACAGATTTTTAACAAATAAGGCAAATAAGGAAAAGTCCCAGGAGAGCAGTATAGTTTTTAAGAACATTGCATTTGATCTGATGTACTAGATCGTTCTACAGTGATTACTTGTTCTTCTGTGTCTTAGTCTAAGACCTTTTAGTCTCAGAATAAATTTTTTTTCTTAATTTTCCTGTTAAAATCACTCTTTTTTTTCCTGGGGAGCAAAACTTGATTTCTGAACTTTAAGCTTTGAGTATACACACGTAAACTTAAACAAATTATACTGTTAGACAAATTTGTCATCTTCTATAACAGAATACATTTTAAACCTCCCAACCCTGGTAAAAGATCTCTGTCCTCCTTGGATGTTGTGTTTTGTGCCTTACTCAACACGCAGTCTGGACTGAAACACTCCTTACAAATCAAGAGCTAAACTTCTTTAGAAACAATATGTAAATGCATTTTTTTCCGTGTCACCTCATGTACACAATAAATTCAAAATGGCCTTTCATGCTACCTAATTGGTAGCTAACTCTACAGACACAAATGTCTATAGTTACACTGAATTATGTGCAGGGTTCTTTACGAAAGTGAAAACAAGTAGATCATCTCAAATAATTGCAGTCATCTCAAATGACTGTGATTAGGTGATTATGTAATAATACTCAGAGGAGAGCAAGTGGTGTACCAGCGATACATTTTTCCATTTCCATACACTGCTTAACATGTTTTTGATTTTTCAATACTCTATTGAAATCCTTACACCCTTATTGTGTACATACTACATCAATGTCTTCAATATCAGAACTACTATAAATTATTGGAACGTTTGGAACTGCTCTTGGTTCCTCTTAGATAAACGGTGTGCTGTTAACTGTATGCATGGAGCGATTGTTTTATCTGTAGGCTGTTGGTACAGAATTTCCAGGGCAAAAACAATAAGCATTTCTGTCTTTCTCTCTCTCTGTCTGTAGGAGCTGCAGGAGGAGTTGGTGAAGGCCAGATCGGAGCTTTTGGAGTTTCAGGGCCACAGTGCTGCTCTGTCTGCTCAGCTTTCTCCTTTAGAGCAACAGGCTTCAGAGAGAGAAAGGCAGCTTCAGCAGCTCAGGTGACTAAACAGTGGCCACAGTATCGGAGCACATTACACTACACTATATAGCACAATGTAACGATTCACAAAATTCATTATTCCATAAGATACAGTGGTGCCTCGCTAATATGTTAACTCCAAGCTATCATGCGATGCGATACAATATGCTGCGATACAATTTGATACAATTTGTTGCATGAAGAGTATGAAGCTGACCTGAGATTGGCAAATTCTCTCTGAACCTGACCTGAGCCAGCTCAATATCTCCTAAAGTGTTAAATAGCACCAGTAGAAGTATTCGTCAGTATACTGGTTGATATTCTTTCTCCTGTATGAGATTTGTCGTAACTGTTTTATCGGTATGCCACGAATACGTGCAGATAACTCAATGTACAAATGGTGCAAACCATGCTAACATTAGTCCTTTTAGTTGAGTGGCTTAGTCAGGGATGTTTCAGTCATGTTTTAAATTAAATTGAAAACTCGATCAACTTCTACTGTGAGGTTTGTTGCATCTGAGGTAATCCACTTTGTTTTCCGAGGCAGTGGACGTAAAGGAATGGCCAGTCTTTTAGGGTTTAGCCTTGGCCTAACATGGACACCACAGCAATTGCTACTTTCTCTCGTAATGGCAGAGAAACCACCTGACTCAGTCAGCTGCATCAGACAAGGCCACGGTCAGGGCTTATGTACAAAACAAGCCGTGGACCAGCTGGTACTGAAGCGGGAATAGCTGTAATAATTTTCAATTTTTGATGCTGTCTGATAGTTTAGGGTGTGAGTGTGTGGGATGCACGTATGAGACAAATGACTTGGGAAAATTTGACAAAGCTGAAGTTGACTTCTTATTTGAAATTTGAACAAAAACTGCTGTTTGAGAAGTGGGGCTAGTGTTAGAAAGCAGTATTGTCATAGGTTTATTTACATATTGTTCAGTTTTGATTTTAATATTTTGCTTTTTGCTTAACATTTCAGAAATGCTTTAATTGTTAAAATTGTTTTTTTATCAATAAGTTCACAAGCCACTGTTAATACTAACCTACAAAAATATGCATCTAAAAAAGTATATTAACACCTCTTTTTATCTACACTCTTTGTCCGTTTTATTGGTCCACGTACCTTTCAGGTGGACTTTGTAGCTCTTCAATTACAGACTGTAGTCCACCTCTTTCTCTGCGTACTTTATTAACCCACTTCTAACCTGTTCTTCAATGGTCAGGACCCCAACGGGACCCCCACAGAGCAGGTATTATTTGGATAATGGATCTGTACTTTCCTTAATTGATTCACTGGTTCCTGCAAGTGAGAGGCATCCAAACCTGAACAGGTTCAGACAAATATTTCAAGCTCTAGTTCTTACTACAGAGCACTCTATACAACATGCTACACGTACACTGACTGCAAAGAAAGCCAAACTCTTTAGCAGTGACTGACTGCAACAAATGCAGTCAATTGAAAAAATAGCCAGCAAAGGCTCACACACAAGCAGCAAGGCTTTAAAAGGGACCATATGAAATTTCAGTTTAGCTAAGATTTAGAGCATCAGAAATGACTGCTGTTGAACAGGAAAGCATATCGGATATGAGATGTGTACATATGAATAATTAATACCCATCACTTTACGCAACACTTCAGACATTTACAGCCAAAAGTAAGTATACAGAAAAAATTATGCATAAAATAATTAAGTGGAATTTCTACAGCATTATTGGTACAGATTTTGTTTTAAAATCTTTGTCATAAAAATTTTTTATTTGTCATAAAACAAAAATGTTCTGGATTGTATGTGTGTGTATGTGTCACGACTTGACGTGGTGGGGGGTTTGCATACAACTTTAAAACAGTACTCAGTACTAAGCCCACCCTAGTAAAATCCCAGCATTTTTTCTTTTTTTAGTCTTTTTGTCATATAATCATATTTTAGAATGGCTTCAGATGTGGCTCAGCCAGTCAGCTTTAAGAACTAGAACTATTCATATTCTGATTGAAATTTTGATTGGCTGCATCCTTGATATTAGGCTTGTGGGTGAACGATTAATTGTTGACTAGTGATGGTCGGTTATAGGTCGAAGGATTTCAGAAGAATTTCAGAAGAATTTAGAAAATCTGCATCCCTAATCCCTAGAATATTTTTATGTTTGTGTGTGTGTGTGTGTGTGTTTGTGTGTGTGTGTGTGTGGGTGTGTAGGCAGGAGCTGGCGGAGCTTCAAGGTTTGTATAGACAGAGTGTGGAGCATGCAGGAGAACAAGCAGAGCTGATTCAGCAGCTGGAGGGACTCAACCTGGACACACAGCACGTCCTGCGCAGCCAAGAACAGGCACACAGCACACACACTGCCTCATACCAGAAGGTACAGGACACACGCACTCATAAAGAGAGTCTCTGACAGAGGGAGTATGAGTGTATGTGTATTTGTCTGTTTGTGGGATCCAAATACCCAAATCTGATTAAAAGATGCACAGGTTGTGTTTGTGGTGACATTATTAGGCTCTCCATGAGGAAACATGCTCTTTTACCCCAAGAAATGTGGCTTTTATTAAAAAAACAAAAAAGACAATGTTGATCTTATTTGTGTGTGTATGTGTGTGTGTGTGTGTGTGAGGGAGATGGTCTGTGTGTAAAAAGGTGAGTCAGAGGAGAGGAGTCTCTCCTCAAGAGGCCTCCTTACTTTTTCTGATGATCTTAGCATCTGTCCTTTACAAGTCGCCATGGAAACTCCATGAAGAGTGTTCCCATGTTTCATTCTTCTGTTCCTTGTCCAGCTGATTGTACTGAATGTTCAGAGATTTAGTCTCTCTCTCATTCAGTGTCAAACATTCAATGTTTTGAATGTTTAATTCTGTTCTCTGTATCTTAAATAGTATTCTCTGTGTTTTTATTTAAGAACATAGGGTGGGGTATATTATTACAAATGCATAATTTATACAATAAATATGGGACGTTATATATAGATACTTGCATGTATATAATACATATAGGACATATTATTACGTATAGGTGATATGAGACATATAATTCTTACATATAGGTGCTTTAGTATATAGAGTACAAATGGGACACATTATTATTAAATAAATGGAACTTGCAATAATATAACACATATGAGATATCTTAAATCTTGATGTTGTATAAATGATGTGCGTGCATGTGTGTATGCATGTGTGTGTCTTTGAAAACACCTCATCAGTTCTCATTCATGCCTAGTAATAGGCTCTTTGGTGTGGGTGGGTGGGTGTGTGTGTGTGGGGGGGGTGTGTTTGTGTGTGTGTGTGTGAGTGAGATATTGATAGCTGATAAAATCAGGCAACATTTAAGGTTCCATTGACTTATTGCAGCCATATAAGAAAACTATGTTGAGGGGCACCAGTAAGTCGCTTTCTGAATACAGGTTCTAGCCATCACATGAAGACAACTGACAGCCATCTCAGTCAGTAAAGCACTGTTTAAGGTTAAACAGAATCAAATGTAACCATTTTTCTCCTTCTGACTGAAAGGAGTTGGCTAGCCAAGACATGGTTGGTGTCTGAAGTTTGCTTTTTTAGCTTTACACTGAAGCTACAAGGCTAGTGTAGCTAACAAGTAATACCTCGCAAGTACTGAATCGTCACACACTTACTTCACCCTGAGTTGTGCTCAGATAGGCTTGTTTATGTGGTTTCTGATACTATATGACTGACTGCTAACTATAAACATGATGCAAACATGATAAAAGTACAGACAGAATTCAGGCTACAAGGTTGCTTCTACTATTTTTGGTTCATTTTTATAGTATACAGTACCAATGACAGTTTTCATTTCAATCAGAGTCTTGTGTGTATGCATTAGCTCTGTCTCTTACTCATTTTCTTTAACCTTCAATTTGTTTCTCTCATCTACCTGTCTTTCTTGTCCTTCATCAGCTCTACAGTGAACTGAGTGTGTCGTACCAGGCCCTACAACACAGGGAGGAGGAGCTGCATCAGAGGAACTTGGTCCTTACCACGCAGTTGCGTCAGAGGGACCAGCAGGTCTCCCAACTCCAGGCTGAACTCCAGCAGCTCCAGCAACAGCAAAGAGACACAGTGCAGGTACATTTGCATTCATTTTTCCGCATGTTCATTTAGCTGATGCTCTTATTTAACTTGCAAACAGTGGAGGCAGCCTACACAATCCCCAAAGGGGACAGTCCAGACAATTTGTTCTATACTTTCTGTCCAGATTGATTTTGAACATGGCACAAAACAGGATCACTTGCATCCAAAAGTTGCCTGCTCCTCCAGCATTTCTTCTGGCATCAGTGGTATTAATAGAGAATTTGCCCCACCTTAACTACAATAACAGCATCTGCACTTCTGGGAAGGCTTTATACTAGATGTAGGAACATTGCTGTGAGGATTTGATTGCATTCAACCACTAGTGAGTGAGTTAGTGAGGTCAAGGACTGATGTTGGATGATTAGTTCTGGATCGCAAATGCCACTTAAGCTCACCCCAGGGGTGTTGGAGCTCCATCACTCCAGAGAATGCAGTTCCACTGCTCCACAGCCCAATGCTGGGGGGATTTATACCTCTCTAGCGGACGCTTGGCATTGGTCATGGTGAACTTAGGCTCATGCACAGCTGCTCCAGAGCATCCCATTCTATTGGCACTGCTTTTCTATGGAGATTATACAAGCTGTGTGTATGCATTTGAATGCCTCTGTCAGTAGTGGGTGCATAGACAAATGATATATCAGTCTTAGGGGCACTGTAACAAAAACTCCTGTTTTATTCTACGGGATAAAGAGAGGCTAGAAAATGGTCATGTTGAAAGAAATCACAATGGTTTTAGGTACAGAAAACCACACACATGATATAAATGAAAAATGTCGAATATTGCCCCTTAAAAGTATTTGTATTGGCATTGGATACATTGTTTGGTATCACATAGACAAGAAAATCAGTGGTATCACCCATCCTTAGCTTGAAGCCGACAAACACACACATGCTGCCCGCAGGCCTTGGCCTCCCACTCTCAGCTCTTTGAGGTAAGGCCTTGGTGGAGAAAAGCAGAAGAGGTTTACGTCATGCTTCACTCACTGTGTGTATGAGCACTGCTTAACATGCATTTTGGCTAACCACACACTGTTCATTTTACACAGCTGCTCCATTTATAGGGAAGTGCTTTTCCTTTACTCCCTCACATACACAAACATTACACACACACACACACACACACACACACACACACACACAAACACACACTCTGCTGCAAGAGGAATGTTTCTTTATGACTCATCAGATTGGACCCCTCATACTTTAGCATGATGGAACCCACCCACTTAAAAGGGATAAACGGGCTCAACTACATAATTTAATAATCAGTGTACAGCTGCAAGATACTGAAACTTTCTTTATAAAATAAAACTCTCTGTAATGCAAAATAACCATTGTAGCATTTCTAAACGAGTGCATTTCAGCTTCTTCAGCGTTTACAGGAATGCTATAAGCCCAACTTTTTCATCTGATAATATTACAAACTACAAGAAGTTATGAAATGTTAAATAATAAGCTGTAATTATCCCTTTTTTAATGCTTTATTTATGCACATAAGAAACCCCAAATTCTTGTAATAATCATAATTTACAGGTTCAAGACTCTGAGACCTGGTATATATAAGTAAAACCTATAATCTTAAATGCAAAATAATCAGAACTTTATTACTATTGCAATGTTTCCAAATGTTTCTATATGTATATATATATATATATATATATATATCTATATATATATATATATGTATATATATATATATATATATATATATAGTAATAAACTAATGCGTCTTCTTTTTTATTCTTTTAATGTCTTATTTCTATACATAAGAAATGCCAACATACACAGTTGTTGTTTTTCTCTCTTCCCCTCTGTAGAAAAAATTAATACAATTAGTCTGTAAGTTTACATTTACAATTTTTTTTATCATCTGCCTTGAAATTTATTTACTAGCTTTTTCAATTTGTTGCAACCCTGTTAATTAAATTTATTAGAACTTCTTTCTGGATCTTAATTTTAATATTGCTTCATTCTGAATTAATTTTATTACAACTTCATTCATAGTATTATTTTTTCTTTTTCTTCTTTATTCTGGATATTACTTTTATTTTTATTATCTTCATTTTGGATATTAATTTTAACCTCACCATTTTATTTAAACTTCGTTTTGAATTTAATTTGTTTTCTAAAACCTCAATCTGAGCATGAATTTAATTAGAACTTCATTCTGAATATTATTTGTCTTGATATTAATTTTATTAGTTCCTCATTCCTGATGTACAGCTTTCTCAGACATGTTAGTATCTTCTACAGCTCTGCTCCTCATTCTGGCACATGTAAAACTTTTCTTGTTTTTTACAGCCTCTAAGCTTCCTACTAATTATATGAATTCTCTGAAGTTACTCAGGACTGGTCTGTTAGAATCATTGTACAGATGTATCTGCAACCCAACTGGTTCTAAATTAGGCAAACATTTGAGCAGCAGTATAGTGTTTTGGCTAGGTGGGTTTTGGCTGAATTTTTTTGGGAGGGCATCCCTACTTTTTTTTTCGTTAACGTCCAGTAATGCAGGCTGTGTTCAAATATAAATGGATCAATTAGTGAGTCATTAAGTACAGCTATGCAGAGTTCCCTCAGTAATTAATACTCAAATCTGTAAGGGCTGCATTCCAGACGATGAAGATGTGAGCAGAGAGTGTGTGTTTGAGTTGATATGCATGTGTATGTGTGTGTATATGTCTGCACTACAAGGCTCTTTGAACAGAATAAGGAAGCAGATCACATCTTTTTGGGCAGCTGCGATAATCAGCGCATGTCTTATGCAGAGATCCGATGCGCAACATCAATATTAAATCGTGTTTACCGAACACATGTAGCGGCTGCTTGGCTGCTTTGTTTCTTAACTTTTTTACCTTCCCACATCAAAGTGAACAGATCAGGTATCCCAAGGTATACCGTGCAGTCAGGAGGGCTTTCGGTTCCCCGGCTGTAATTGCACTGACAGGAGTGTGTATTCCAGCGTAATCTGAAATTCTGTAACAACTTCCTCCCGAACACCTGTTAAATTCTAATGCACGGGTTTTTACAGAGCGCTATTTTAATTTTAAATGTTTGGAAGTTGGAGATGATCAAAGTGCCGATCGGGTGGGTGGGAGTTGAGGTTGTTGGGGTGTGTGTGCTGAGGGGGGGTTGCTGATTTCAATAAGGGGCTTTGAACGGCACGGTGAGGGACGAGGGTAGGGGGAGGGGCTGCTGCTGTTTGCCAGGACTTTGTCTGAACAGAAGCTTCTGTCTCTCAGGTCAGTCTGGACCCAAATCCATCACAGTTTCGCAACTGAGAGTACTGAGCTGGGGTAGTACCGCTTAATACTGGCTATTGGTACCATTGAAATGTGTTGATTTATAGTTTTAGCAGTAATGATAGATACAGCAAGTGCTTTGTTTTTAGTTTTGTGTGTTTTTGTCATGGTGACCAGGATCTGACCGTTAACTGTGGTGCACAGTACTGTGCAGTAGCAAGAGACTTTATTTATTAAAAGCCATTAAGGCCAAAACTGGAGTTTAAACATTTATTTAAAGATGTAGAGAAAATGAGGCTCATAACAACCACACAAGATCTGGTAGACCACCAAAACTATCACCATCAGATAAACAGTACTTAAAGCTTTCATCTTTGAGAAAAAGGAGAAAATCAAACTCCACTCTTGCTTCAAATCTGAAAAAAGCCACAGGTGTTTGTGTCCATCTTTCCACTGTGAGAACACAACTTAACACTATCAGTCTGAAGGGATGTGTTACTGTCAAGAACCTGTTACAAAAATGAATAAAATTTGCAAATCATAAAGCTGCTGGTGTTTTTAAAACAGTGGACTAGCTACCCTACACCTCGACTTTAACATCGTTGAATGTGTTTGGGAGTACTTGAATTGTGACAAGCAGATAATGCAACCAGCTTCTAAGACTGAACTTTGGAGGTGTGGAAAAAACTTCAACAAGCATTGTTCACCACTGCCCTCTAATGGTGTTAACAGCAGATAAACAAACCCATGTCTCCACCCATTAATGCACAGTGATCAAAACTCAAAAAGACATTATAAATGTGGTTAAACGTCGTTACATTTTAATGAAAGGTTCCAGGAAAACAAATCTTGTCTTTTAAATGGTACTGTATGATGAATCTTGCTTAATATGAAAAAGGTCCAGCTTTTTAATTTCAGATTGTCTTGTGATCAGTCAATTAATTGCGACACGTGTAAAATCAGGCGCTATTCCTGAATAGACCACAGCTGCAAACAGCACAAACTAGTGGATATATTAGTCTAATACTAGTCTGTACGTGCTCTGTCTGGCGAGTGTGTATTAACAATGACCAAATTAAATCTACAACTTCTGTTCACATGTTTTAAAAGGAGACCTCCTAGAAGAGTTGTAGACTTCTGAAGAGATACAGTCTTGCTGTGTCTCTCTACCCTGAGCAGACAGCACAACATTATTAATGTCTGGTTTGGAGGAAGACGTGTGTGGTATTTATCATGAGTGTCTGGACGCGGGTCTGGGATGGTAGCCCACCTGGAGGCGCAGGTGACTCCGCCCGCATTACTGCCTGCTCAGCAACCGTTGCCAGGTGGTCAATCGCCACGGCAACCCGCAGGCGGATAGAGGATCTCCCATTGGTTTGTGTCTGGCTGTGCGGGGCGATGACCTGGGTTGTCACTGCGCCGCCTGTGCCTCGTTCTGGTTGGGAGTGTGTATGTCAGGAGTGTGGGGAATGTGTGGTTATGGTCGCAATTCATCACACCACTCAGACTACTCCACCCCAGGCATTTGGGCTCTAAACTCCAAACAAGCAGTTTCTAATTGTATTGGGCAGCTACTCAGAATAGCCCCCCTCTCCCCAAACAAACACAGTGCCACCATGCAGATTTGGGCAAAGCCAAGCTGTAATTAGTGAGAGATTAGAACTGAACAATGTGCAAAAAAATATATTTTAGCTCAACAGAGTCTACATAAAGTAGTTAGATGTTATACGAAAATATTTGGACACTGTAACCATT